AAAGGCGGGGCATAGAGGAGAAACAATAATGTACAGTATATGGAAAATAATGTGTTTTTTGAACCTTAAACCGCATAAACACATTTCATTACACCAAATTCACAAAATTATGTTCTTTTTTAGCAACATCATATGACCCCTTTAAACTTTTTAAAATTTTTTAAATTTTGTGTTCCATAGAATACAAATATTTTGGGGTGAACACTCCCGACAATATTTGAATCTGTGTTGTGACCCCTTAAAGGGATAGGTCACCCAAAAATTATTAATGAGCTTGCATTTACATATAATCAGATGGAACGAATAGTATGCATATTTGGCATGCTGTCTGAGGGAAGCACTCTAAAAAAATGCTGGGTTAAATACAACCCAGTATTTTACCCAGCACTGGGTTGTATTTAACCCAGCATTTTTTAGAGTGAAGGGCTTCAGACTCGGAATTTAGCCCGAACCCAGAAAACTCCCCCATATCCCCAAGCTACTCAGTCACACTTTATTTTAAGGTCCAATTCTTGCTATTAACAAACCATTAACTATAACTTTTGCCTGAACAAACTCCTAATTTGCTGCTTAATTGATAGTTTGTAAGGTAATTGTTAAGTTTAGGTATTGGGTAGGATTAGGGATGTAGAATATGGTCATGCAGAATGCACACTTTATAAGCACTAATAAATAGCCAATATGTTAATAATAGGCATGCTAATAAGCAACTAGTTAATAGTGAGAATTGGTGCCTATTGAAGTGTTACCAGAAACTCGTACAGGTTTCAAACAGGTGGAGAATGAATAAATAAAATATTTTTCATTTTAATTCAGCTCGCTGGGCAGTGTTGCTAAAAATGCCAAAATAATTTCCTTGAATTAAATCTTGTGTGAAAATTTCATTAAACTAACAAACAAATGTATGTATTTGTGTCATAAACGATGTTTTGGCACACTCAAGCAGATACTCGCCATCTATAACTATGGGAAACATATCTGTTCATCAGGTGTGTTAATTAGGCCGAAGATGAGATACCTTCTGCCCCCTTCTTTTAATATTATCTCTTTTCCTAACCCTTGTGCTTTGTTGTCTGTGTTTTATCAATTTGCTGTCAATTTCGTGACCCTACAGAGGATAAGCGGATACACGGTGTATACTTTTGCTTTTTGAAATGTTTTGCAAGCTGTTCTGCACACACTCGGGGGATTCTGCTCATGTTGGCCCAGCGACCCGCTTTTTCTGCATCTGTGTTACACCCTTTTAAGGGAAAGACATTCCCATTGGGAATTCCAAGAAACAATGTTCTGGACATGAGTAAGAGCGACAAATGTGGCTCGCCCCCGTGTTTCTCGTGCAAACACACCATCTGTCAAAAATAGAGATGAATAATAGGTTGACTCCTTCACAAACCATCAAATTCACTCCTTTGACGAACAAAGAGACAATCGACACAGGTTCCTTTAAATGCCAAATGCACATATTCTTTCTCAGACACACAGCATTGCCATTTATCTCATTTTATTAACAAAATAGCTCTGAACATGCATTTTCAAATCCAAAGAGAGGGTTCTCCAAAATTGGAAATAATTGTACATCGCTGGACAATCCAGCATGGCACATTAAAAGCATTTTTTTCACCCTCGTTTTTCAAACACAGTGACAACATTTATAGAAACACATACCAGTCAGGACAAACAAAGGTCTTATAAAACACATTAATGGCTTGATGATAACCAGGAAAGGGCAATAAATAGAAACGCATGCTTCCACATTCACACACGCTCGTCAGTAAGAATGCCATCAGACTACATTGTGACCTGCTGAGAAGGCTTGCTTTCAAAGCGATGTGTCAAACTCTGAAGCAAAGTCGCTTACTCAGTTTCTTTCTCAGACAGCTGACAAAATACGAGAGAGGTTTTTCTTGAGGATCGCCTTGGCTAACCCTGACTCCACAAACGCTCAGACATTAAACGTAAACACACTCATTGGTGCTCAGATGTGGGACAGAGGGGTCTCTTATACTCACTCCATCTGGAGCGCTCCAATATACAGCTGTTAGAAACTCCAACACACATTCACACAGAAAAGGTCAAAGTAGTTACATTGCAGAATCCTTTTTGTTTAGCGTTTTCCCATTGGAAATTGCCCTAAAACATTCCTATTTTCCCTGCCATGCAAAATCATATTCGATCTATGTCTATGAAAAAAAGGATTCACTGAGCACACTGGGAAACATATTTGCACTGATTGACTACAAATACAGCACATAGTTTTTTTTAACTACGATTAAAGGCAACAAAATCCTAACAAAAACTATTTTGTAATAATCAGATCACACGGGCACTGTTGAATAGAATTCCGTGTATTAAAAAAGCTAATAAAAAAAGAAACCAAATCGACGTTTAAAAATACAAACAAGTCAAGTCTCGCTTAAAAACCACAAATCTAATGCCACAATCTTCAGCATCAATAAATACTGCTGAAATGCTGATATGTAAAGGGTTTTCTTTTCTTTAATTCATTAATCAAATACTAGTCACATGCACTCATGCAATCACTCCCCGCCGCCTCGTCCTCAGCTACACGCAAGCACACACACACAGTCTAACTGTATCACATCTTTGTTGATGGGAGGCGGTCTCGCCTCACCTGCAGACGGGAAGTTGTCCTCATTGGAGCCGTACTGCTGCTGCTCCTCCTGGGCAATGTTGGCACGGTTTTGCTTGCACGCTATCTTGGCATTGCTCAGGTCTGTGTACGGCATCGTCTCGGGCTTCACCACAATGTTATACCCTGGTGGCGCAGAAGGAGTATTCCAGGCTCAGTCCGCATGACTGCATAGTAGCTCGATGTCTTTGTGACAAACAGTATTTGGTCTCCCATGGCAATTGTCACAAACTGAAACATCCTACATAAAGGCAAAAGTCTCACAAGTTGGAATGTGGCAGTAAGAGAAAATGGAAGACTCTTCACACAGTGTGTATGAATCTGATTGTGTGTACCTTAGATATCTACATCGCATGATCTGAAGAGTGCCACTGTTAAACTTTCAACCTCCATTTGAACCAAGTTAGACCTGCTACTTGGACTGGCTATATCAAGTTTGTTAGAGCTAGAGGATGTTCCCATAAATACAGGTTCATAAGAGCAATACCAACAATACACAGTGACTTTCAGACAAGTCAATCTGAATGTAAAATAGTTTCATATGCACCTAAACGTACAGAATTTCCACACTTTATAAGCGAATTGAATTTCCATGATTTTCCCCCTTAACTTATTCAGCATTCAATTACTGGATAAAGGATTTCATAATGACTGAACTCACAAAGAGTCATTTCCAGGACCGTGGGGACCCTGTATATATTTATATGGCTGATAAAACTAGACTGCAAATGCTTTCTTCACCAGTAGGGGATAGTACAAGAACAGAGTAGGAAGTGGATCCATCAACGGAATATCCCAAGTCTTGGTGGCTAGAAATACTACAGAGATCTCAAAACTAAGAGAATCTCTAGAACTGAAAGACATTGCACTGCTTCCTCAAACACCCATAGCTATGAAAACATTTGCACTGGATGTGTTTGCGTGTTTGTAAATGTAGATTTACAGCTT